TATATTTAAAAATGAATTATTACAAAAAAGAAATTTCTAAATAGTATCAATAGTCAATGGTCTTATTGTTAAATAAAAAAATTGAATCCTATTTCTTATTGTTTATTTTGATGGTTAAATTACTGATACTCCTATTCTGATATATAAGTCGAATTACCAATACTCCTATTTAGGTATATATGTATTTCTCGAGGTTTCTATTTTCTATTGTATCAATACTTTGAAAGATAGTACAAGAAATTTTTTATATTTAAGAATGAGTTGTTATCAAAAAGAAATTTTCTAAATAGTTTCAATGGCCCTGTAGTTAAAAATGCTTTTTGTGCATTAAATTGTCTCAAAAAAAAATAAGTTTTGTGATTGTAAGAGGTTGCCCAAGGAGATGTGACAAGTAATTTATTAAATAACTTAATGCACTTCTCTTTGTTTTTACAAATTGCACTTTATTGTATTAAAGAGATTCTATTTATCATAGAAAATTATAGTGAAATAGTAAATAAAAAATATATTACTAAAATATACACATAATTTTGTATTTAAAGACCTTTTGTCTGCCTTACCTCATTATATCAAACACTGTAACTTCTAAAACACACTTTAAAAATAAGTCATTAAACGTTTGTTAAGTTACCTGCATCAAAAACATGAAAAAAGGTTATTTGTATATATAAAGTATGCAAAGGTAAAAGTGAACTCTGTGATCCCTGAACAAGAGATACTCATATTGAAAGATATGGAATTTGTGAGGAATTTGTAAGTTCTGTTGAACCTCAACCTGATATTCCTTCTCTCACTAATCCTCAAATAGAAGGCAGTAGCACATCAATTGGTATTTCTACTCCTAGTTTAATGGATGTTAGTCTTCAAGAAGAATTATTTCTAGTAGTTACAAAAGATAAAAAAAAAAAAAAAGCTTTAATTAGAGAACAACCATATATTGATTTAGTTGAAGAAAATTTAGCTACCTCAGATTATGATGAAGAAGTTATAAAAATAGAACCTGAAAGTGATAATGAGAATATCATGATAGACTATTCAACTCCCGATATTGAAAGTAGTGAAGAAGAAATATTCGAGGATATTGGAATCATGATGAAAAATTTAGTTGGATATTAATTTGGATCTTGAAATACCAACAAAGATATCAGTTACCAGACACTGCAACAGATTCTTTACTTAAATTTATTCATTATCTATTGACTTATCTTGATCAAGATCAGTTTACAAACTTTCCTAAATCACTCTATTTGGTCCGAAAGTTAATAGGATTAGGTCTATGTATAAATAATTATACAACATGTCTAGCATGTAATAAATTATACAACTATAATGAAGTAAAAACAAAAAAGCCTGGACAAATCCCAATATGTCTTCATTGTACCTTTGTAGAATATTCTAATCACCCAATGTTTAAAATGAGACAACCTTGTAATCAACTATTAGCAAAGGAAGTACCTACAAAAGATGGAATATTGTATCGTCCTTTGCTTTCTTACTCAATAATAAATATTAAAAATCAACTCCAGTTATTATACAACCAAAGAGGATTTGAAGCATCATGCAGAAAATGGGTTAATAGAAAAATAAATAATAATTATCTTGCTGATATCTATGAAGGTAATATATAGAAGACATTTAAAGATCAAGATACAAATTTCTTTACAGCTAAGCATGCTAATACACATTTAGGCCTTATGATTAATTTAGACTAATTTAGTTCTTTTCAAAATTCTATATATTCTACTAGAGCAATATATGCAGTCATTTGCAATTTGCCCTGTGAATTCAGATTCAAGCCTCAAAATAAATTATTCTTGCATTATTACCAGGGCCGAAAGAAGTTAAATTACATCACATTAATCATTATCTTGCGCCTTTAGTTGATCAATTACTTGAATTGTGAAATGAAATAGAAATCACTACAAATGAATTACCTATAGATACAAAAAAAATTAAATGTGCTGTTATATGCTACTTATGTGATATTCTAGCAGCTAGAAAGTTATGTAGACAAATATCAGCAAGAATTGCATGCTTTCAATATGAAAAACATGCCCAGTTTGATGCTAGACATCAACCTAACTTTGGTGGATTTGTAGATATGAATGACTGATTTGTAGAGTGTGATGTTGATAAAATTAAAATTAATGCATATGCATGGTTACAGTGCAAAACTGAGAATCAAAGAAAAAAACACTTATCTAAACACTTTGTTAGATGGTTAGAACTTTATCATCTTCCCTATTTTAATCCAGTTAGACATATAACTGTAGACCCAATGCATTGTTTATTTTTGGAAATTGCAAAATTGATTGTTATGTGGCTATGGGTAGAAGGTGGAAAATTAAGTCCTAATAGTCTAAAACTTATAGATAAAAGGGCAAAAAAATTACAGCTT